CTTTGGGGGAGGGAGAGAGAGAATGAAAAGGTCTGTCAAATGAAATCGTTTAAGACACCAAACCTCAATGCTGATCTCTTTTCCTGAGCGGATGCCAATTTTTGAACCTTTCTTTTCATCACATAAACAGACCCTACAAGGCCCTTGCCTACCATACAGTTAGAGGCAGAATGACAGGAGATTCCCCATCCTAAGGTGTCAAATGGTGGGCCAGTTTCATGAAACAATTGTCATGTGTAAGCCGGGAAGGTCTAATAGAAAACCAATCCACATCTGACCGCAGGAACTGTTCAGAAACCCCACCCGCAGCCAAGCAAAGCTTAAGATCTATTGTTGAAGGCTTTCATGGCCGGAATCACTGGGTTGTTGTAGGATTTTTTGGGCTATATGGGCCATGTTCTAGAGGCATTCTCTCCTGACGTTTCGCCTGCATCTATGGCAAGCATCCTCAGAGGTAGTGAGGTCTGTTGGAACTAGGAAAAGGGGTTTATATATCTGTGGAATGACCAGGGTGGGACAAAGGACTCTTGTCTGCTGGAGCTAGGTGTGAATGTTTCAACTGACCACCTTCATTAGCATATAATGGCCTGGCAGTGCCTGGAGCAAACTTTTGTTGAGAGGTGATTCCAACAGACCTCACTACCTCTGAGGATGCTTGCCATAGATGCAGGCGAAACGTCAGGAGAGAATGCCTCTAGACCATGGCCTTATAGCCCGAAAATACCTACAACAACCCAGCGATTCCGGCCATGAAAGCCTTCGACAATACAATCAATAAATAGCTTTTCAAACCAGTGTTGGGATGGAAACTTCAGGAGAGCTCCTTTAGGAAACTCGAGAGCCAAGTTTCCTTTTGGAGGGCATTTGGCGCTTCCTGCTGATGTTATGACGCAAAACACTTCCAACATTTTAAACTACCCTGTTTACTTGTGTTTTGTTCAATAAGCACACAAGAACAGTTACGAGGTTTGCGAGTCATTCGTCTTTCCTTGACCTCCGTGGTTGGGGTGGCTCAGCCGTGGCAAAAGATCTGAATGACCTGAGACTACAGATCATTAACCTTCTAATCCATGACAGATGCCTCTGTCAAGTGTGAACCCGTCCAGGCCTGATCGGGATCAGCCATCTTTTCTCTCCCCCAAACCGAGAAACCTTTGAGCAAACCTTAATCTTGACCCATTTGGATTTGGGGTGACGGATGGGAGCTTGCCACCTGTTTATCTCCCTGCCATCTTTGTTTCCGCGGGAGCATTTGTCGCCTGGGGTGTTCGTGACCACGGATCAGGGGACCTCTATTTACCCTTGATTTTTATCACCACGGTACATTACACTCACCTCCAAGAGCTAAAGCGCCTTTAAGATTCAGTTACATAAAACCCCGCAGCAAGCACTCGCCTTCTTCCCAACAGCGACTCTCAACCCCAAATCCTCCCTTGAAAACTCTTGTCTTTTCAAAGGAGGCAATGACCCCCATCTTTTCCATGCATGCTATTTAAAATATAGCAATCTATGGAAGGAGAATGTGTGTGTTTGCATATATAATTGAACCTGAAAGTGTTGTTGTTGTTATTATTATTATTAATTATTGTTATTTTATTGTTCTCTTGCATGTTGCAACAACTTGGGCTGAAAGAGAGAAAAGAAAGAACGAAAAGAGGGACAAACAAAGGGGGAAAAGTGCAAAGGGTGATGAAAAAGGGCATCCTGACCAGGGGCGGCTCAACCCTTACGCCAAGTAAGCATTCGTAGTAGAGCTGATTATGTCCAGGTGGGGCGCTCTTGAGGCGCTCTCGGGGGAAAATAGACCTTGACATATGCGAGTTGTAGTTACTGGGATGTATAGTTCACCTACAATCAAAGAGTATTCTGAACTCCACCAATGATGGAATTGAACCAAATATGGCACACAGAACTCCCATGACGAACAGAAATATATATAACAATGATTGGTTGGGGGTGTGTGTGTGCTGTCACGCACTGGGCCTATAGATGTTGGCTTTTGAACAGGACGTGCTCTTTGTGCCGGGGTGCCTCGAGTGAGAGGCCCTAAGTATTTTCCTCTGGAAGAGTCTTTAGAAACTTGAAAGGTTTAACAAAGTCCTTTATTATTGCTTAAGTCTTCAACAAAACAATCAAATACTTCTTAGATCTTCAACAAATTAAACAAATGCTTCAAGGCTTTGAATCAACGGGTGGCTTTCTTAATCTTGTCCACAAGGGACAGGCAACTGGCTTCGTGAACTGTTTCTTTTCTTTAAGAAGAAAACCCTTTTTAACCCCTCCTTGGGCAATCTACTTTCTAAACTTTGCTGGTGTGGGCTCTACTCCCGGCTCCAAACTGCTTCTTGGGTCCCGAGTAGACCTACCAGTCAAGGCTTTGTTGATTCTCCAGCTGGAGTCCTTTGGAACTGTTTCCCCCCGGAATTTCCTAAGAAACGAAGCTTCTCTACAGGTGGAGCTAATCCACGTCCTGTAGCTAAGCTTTCCAATGCAAGACTGAGCTAAAATGGCTCCCTCTCCTCCCAGAGCCCTGGGGAAAGGGGCAGAACCAAAACTTAACAATGATTGATGGGTCATTGGCCCTATAATTGCAAACCAATGGAAGCCACCTTATTGCAAAATGCATGGAACTTTAGAATACATGCAAACACTCAAGGAAAGAAAAGGAAGTTGGAGCTTTTGATACAGCCGTACCAGCATGGGGAGGAGGGGGGTGGGTGTGCCAAAATACTGTTCGCTTACCATTGAAAATTACCTAGGGCCACCTCTGATCCTGACTGTACTAAGCGGAGTCTTCTCGAGGAGTTTATGATGATGATTATGATGATGATGATAATAATAATACTTAAAGTGCAAAAGACAAAGAGGGAATACCATAAAAACACAATCCGGAGCAGAAGAGAAAACTGGCCAAAGAAGGCTCTCTCTCTATGGATGGTTCCTGGGAAACATTGAGAGCCAAATGGACAAAGAAAAAACATGGCTGGGGCTCAAAAATTGGATTTTGAAAAAGGAGACAAAGGAGGGCCTGATTCTGGCAGCCCAAGAACAAGCCATTCCAACCAAGGCCATCACAGCCAGAATTGGAAAGTCAACAACAGATCCCAAATGCAGACTCTGCAAGGAAGCAGATGAAACAACGGATCCCATCCTCAGCTGCTGCAAGAAGAGCGCGCAGACAGACTACAAGCAGAGGCACAATACCCTTGCTCAGGTGATCAGTTGGAACTTGTGCCTCAAAGACCATCTGCCGGCCACAAAGAACTGGTGGGATCACAAGCCGGAAAGAGTTACAGAGAATGAACACGCCAAACTCCTCTGGGATTTACGGATTCAGACAGACAGAGTTTTGGAGCACAACACTCCTGACCTCACAATCATGTTAAAAAACAAAGTATGGATTGTCGATGTTGCAGTCCCGGGTGACAGCAGGATTGCAGAGAAACAACAGGAAAAGCTGGCATGATATGAGGATTTAAAAATCGAACTGCAAAGACTCTGGCACAAGCCAGTCAAGGGGGTCCCAGTGGTGATTGGCACACTGGGTGCAGTGCCTCAAGACCTTGGCCTGCACTTAAACATCAGCGCTGACAAAATCCCCATCTGCCAGCTACAGAAGGCCACCCTCGAATCATGGAATCAAAGAGTTGGAAGAGACCTCCTGGGCCCTCATCCAGTCCAACTCCATTCTGCCAAGAAGCCGGAATATTGCATTCAAAGCACCCCAGACAGATGGCCATCCAGCCTCTGTTTCAAAGCTTCCAAAGGAGGAGCCTCCACCACACTCCGGGGCAGAGAGTTCCACTGCTGAACGGCTCTCACAGACAGGAAGTTCTTCCTCATGTTCAGATGGAATCTCCTCTCTTGTAGTTTGAAGCCATTGCTCCATTGCATCCTCTGCCCCGGAGTGTGGCAGAGGCTCCTTCTTTGGAAGCTTTTAAACAGAGGCTGGATGTCAGGGGTGCTTTGAATGCAATATTCCTGCTTCTTGGCCAAATGGGGTTGGACTGGATGATGGCCCAGGAGGTCTCTTCCCACTCTTGGATTCTATCATTCACATAAATGTTTAACAAACTAAAGACGTCGGCGGTTCTCAAACTTGGGCTTTGGGATGTTGTTGGGCAACTCCCAGGGCTGGTTGGTTTGGGCTTCCGGAAGCCAAAATCCCACAAAATCTGTGGAGATGGGTTTGGGAAGGGCAGGGTCAGTATATAAGTGCCAGAAGAAGCCCAGTTTTGAATGACTCCAAGACAAATGTTGGACATATTAAAGCAAAAGGGAAGGCAGGCAGCGAGGCTACATCAAAACGAAACCAGGCCGCCGAGAAAGCAATCTCCAAGGATATTAAGCATTCCCTTCATTTTCTATTCTTCTCTGACCTGGGTGACAATATTATTGAAGATTCATGGGCTTGTTTGTCTTTTCATCCATAACTAATGCAGTAGATCACTTGGGGGGGGGGTTAGGGAGGATTTTTGATCTCCTCCTTAGAGCGATGCATTTACACCTGAGAACATATAGCCCCCCTTCTCCCTTTCCAAGTCACAGGCATTAGGAGAGTCTATTGATGTCAGAGGCAGGCGCTCAATGGCTTTCTGATGCAGGCTTAGCAATACACTCAGAACGTGCCGAAGAGAGAGAAGTTGCCCAAGTCTCCGTTTTGGAGAATCTATGAAAAAAGATGATGAAGGTGGAAAGAAAGACCACCGGAGAGGAGTGAAAGAGAAGCGCCAGCTGTTGAGTTCACCTAAAGTCAAGCCAAAGGGTCTTCTGAACGAGACCTCCCTTCCTCCAACCACTTGTGGCTTCCCATGTCCCTTGACCTCCTGCAAGCTCCAACCACAGTCCGGCATCTCCTGAGCCTGAACAGGGTCCACATCCCGTCTCCGTAAATGCAAAGGAACAGGTATTACATCGACATTCAAAACCACGGCACGGCACTACTAGCAGTACCCGTTTTTAATGGGTTTGATTTTACACAGTCTGCCCTCCACGTTTGC